ACAAAATTTAGAACTTATAATTAAAGTACCTGACTTCTGAGGGAAGCTCGATTTTAAGATGAGGCGTTTCTTCCCTCCCCTTCCCTTCTGTCGGGCACAAATACTTGACCTTTTCCATACAAAACCAAGCAGGTGGCTAATAAAAGCAAACAGGTGCCTCTCCAGCCTGAAAACAGCAGCGTTTTTTGGAGGCCCGCGTCCTAACTCCCTTCCTTTGCTTCATGACCTACAACGGGCCGTTCTGTTGCCTGCGAGAATACTGACTGACGTCCCATGACTGCGGCTTAGCCTGAGCGTGTGAGTCCAATCTGACTGACGATAAATAAAATCTTGTCGTACTCTTATAGGATGTTTGGCAAGGACAAGAATTAAGGCACTTTTATAAGTCCCCAAGGAATCTGGTGATATTTCTAACGTGATCTCACACATCATTCTGTCCCGCCTGACCTTCCTTGTATCACCCTCCTGAATTATAGCTTGTATCTGTTACCCTCCCCTCCTTCTGTAGCCTCTCCTCCAAATAAAGGAGTGCTGACCTGAAGAAAACAAATCTGGTTTTTTTTTTTCAAGTTTATAAGAAAGTCAGTTGTGTCCTGGAACTCACTCCATATGTTTTCTGCCGAACATTTACTGCCTCCATTAGATTAAATGTATGTCTCACATTCTGAAATGAATCCTGAAAATCTCTTAGAGGTTAAAGGACCTCCCAGAGAGGTGTCCAGCTTCATACCTTAATCACTTCTGGGGTCTCAGGATGTTATAAGAAACATTATGTACTCACCCAGTTCACCAATCTTCCACCCACTTCTTCAGTGATTAGTTCCTTTATCCTGACAGTCACTCGGGAGAGTTGCCTCTCAGGCACTTTCTCATGATTCCACTTAGAAAGGGAGTTTTTTGATAATGGCTTTCCTCATGCTCTCCAGGGAAGCTTAACAGCTTCTGTCTGATGTGCCGGAGGGCACACTTACCTGAGAACAGGCACACTTCAAGGACACTGTTAAGCAAAAGGGTGTTACTAGCTCGTGGGAACAGCATCCATGCCTGTAGAGACCACAGACCCAGTTCAGGGGGGCGACCGTGGTTAGGATGTGTTCCCTGGGCCTGCCCCACGCAGAGCATGGGGAAGGTAGCGTTTGATGCTAAGTGCTCCTGATAAGTTGAGCTTCTCCATCCTTATGGCTTCTCCTCTTCTATACTTGAACCTCCTTTGAGTTTTTTATGTGGATGATAACAGCATTTGCTCCTTGGAAGAAAAGCTATAACCAACCTAGACAGCGTATTAAAAAGGAGACACATCACTTTGCCAACAGAGGTCCGGCCAGTCAAGGCTATGGTTTTTCTGGTGGTCATGTATGGATGTGAGCGCTGGATCATAAAGAAAGCTGAGTGCTAAAGAATTGGTGCTTTTGAACTGTGGTGTTGGAGAAGACTCTTGAGAGTCCCTTGGACTGCAAGGAGATCCAACCAGTCCATCCACATGAGATCAGTCCTGGGTATTCACTGAAAGGACTGATGCTGAAGCTGAAACTCCAATACTTTGGCCACCTCATGCGAAGAGCTGACTCATTTGAAAAGACCCTGATGCTGGGAGGGACTGGGGGCAGGAGGAGAAGGGGACGACAGAGGATGAGATGGCTGGATGGCATCACTGACTCAGTGGACATGAATGTGAGCAAGCTCCAGGGGATAGTGAAGGACAGGGAGGCCTGTTGTGCTGCATTCTGTGGGGTCACAGAGTGGTGGATATGACTTAGCAACTGAACAACAAAGAACAACAGCAGTGTTACCCTTCATTGAGGGCACATGCATTTTACATATGACCTGTAAGAGTTGAAGGCCTGCTAAAGAATAACTGTGAAGAGACATGGTGAGGGAGTCTACTCCCACACTCTGAATGGAACCCTGCATCCCACCTGCTTATTCTTTCCGTCTGTGCCGCTGCCATCTTGTCTTCAGGGAGCCAGTTCCCCTTCGCTGCTGAGGTCAAAGCATGGACAGAAGTCCCTTTCCTCCATCCTCCTGCAGAGCTGAGGAAAGATGGGATTTTGAAAACTTTTTTTTTTTTTTTACCATCTTTCTAAATTCCATATATATGTGTTAGTATACTGTAATGGTCTTTATCTTTCTGGCAAGCTCTGAGTAGAAAAGCAGAGGGACAGATAGAGGTAGGAAGAAGTATCAGGACGGTGGGCATGCAGGAGCCCTGCAGGACTTGATCGCTCTCAGAACCTGGGCTCGGTGATGGTATGGAGTCACAAGCGGCCCCCCAGCCTGGGGCTTACCACCTCTGCGCCGTGACACACGGCTCATCTCTGAGGAACGTAGTAACTGGCTTGGTTTATTCATGGACCTGAACCAGGTCTTGCAACTGAAATAAATCAGCCCACCCCTAGAAAGAGTCAGACACAACTGAGCGACTGAACAGAACCCTGGAAAGAAGCGGTCTGGAAAGGCAGAGAGCTTAGTGGGAAAGAGCTGCTGAGGACCTGGGCCACGAGGCTGCCTCGGTCTGAGCCACACAGCAGCTCAGCCCTGGCACGTGGAAAACATTGATGTGGGCTCCACACTGTCCGGGGGTGTCATGTGTCTTACCTCACTTATGTGTGTAACAGCCTCATGAAGAAGAGCTGCTCTCAGAGCTCATTTTACCAGTGAACAAGTAGCGAAGTTAAGGAATTTATCCATGGTCACCAGTCAATACAGACTGAATTCAGAATTAAAATCTAAGCATTCCAAAACTTCAGACCCTGCAATCTTAAACTATCCTCTCTCCCTTTGTGATGGTAAAATATCTTCTAGAAAAACATTAGAGGTAAGACTCAAACAGCCTGCCTGCTCCGTGTTTTGCAGTTTTATAGTTGCCATTAGAGATGACTCACCACTCAGCTTCATTCATTATTTTGTTTGGAAATGGTATGATTTCCCAGAATCTCCTATACTTATATACAAAAGATGAAAAGAAATAATTTTATAAAATATTTTCTCATTTGAATTCCTGTCATCAATGCTTCTCTTTGAGTACAGTATTGTCAAGTAATCACACACATAAATATAAGGCGAGTAAGTTTAAACATGAACATCTGTTGCCATTGCTGGTCAAAATGACAGGAACGTCGGGTCCTCTGAGGTTAGTCAACTTTGCAGACACCGCTCCCACAAGGGATGCTTCTCCTGCACAGATGAACAGCTTGTCAAGGCCTCTGTGTTTTGAAGACTTGTGAGGTTTCTGTTAGTATGGTACGTACAAAAGATGAGTTCTTCCCAAGCCGTTAGCCTCTCAACAAAATAACAATGTACATCATTTTTGTTTTCCCTTGGCTTCCTTTTTTCTTTCTGAATATGGGGGGACGTGGAAGTACAATACATAAATCATAATTTTGACAGACTTTTTTTTTGCCAAAACAATCACTTTGCTTAAAATAGGCCTTTTAATAACATCTAGAAAATTGAGTACTTTTGAGTTTCAGGTTGTTTTAAAAATAAATTCATAATGTGTAAAGTTTTTAGAAGGTAGTCCACTCATCAAGATATTCCTCGTATCTTTGATTAGTACTAAGCAGTGCACTTTGGAATAACATATTTTGAGAGATTTCTGAATTCTATTAATTGAATGAGCAGCAATTTACGTTCCACTCATATGGAAGACAAGAGATTTATTGTAGATGAACTGAACCAGTATTGTCCTCCCTATATATGCTTTTTCTGTTAGACAATTTAAATGAAAATCAAATTTGCCTGTTATTACTAAAACATATAAGGTTTCTATTTATCTCTTTTTTGTCTTCAAATGTAATTCTAAAGTTAAAAGTTACTGACATTATTCTTACACACAAATCTCGTGGCTTACATATCCATTATCTGACTTGCTTATATTTTTTCTTTTTTTTTTTTTTTACTCGCTTATAGAAAACAAGCTCTATACTTTGTTAACTACTATATCTTCAGTGTCCTGCGTGATACCATAAAGCTCATTAAAATTTACTTATACTCTGTTGAAAATAATTAATGATTTGTTTGTTTATAAAATATCAATTAGATGCAAGAGCCCATCATAAGCTAGGGTTCAGATATGAATCCTTCTGTAAGCCCACTCAGTCAATAATGCCAGGGACTCTGCTGAGAACTGGGGACATAAGGCTTAAGGAGGAGAGCCCCTGCCGTTAAGAGGTGTATAATTCACCAAGGAAGACAAGCAGGATAGGTGTGCTCGGGCTAAGAAACAGGCTTTAGGAGAATATAATGGGAGGCTAACTGGGCTAATGGGGGAGTCGGGGAAGCTCTCCTGGGTGGTAACTTCAAGTGGAGAGGATGGTAAACCTCTCCAGAGAGAGAGCTCCAGAGAGAGGGAACAGCATCCACAGAGGTTTTGCAGAGGCAAACTACATGAAATTTTCATTTAGGGGCACAAAATAGGTATGAGGTTGAGTGGAAGCTAATCAAGCCAGCATCCTGCTTCCTCTATAACACACAGACATGTTTTTCCTGAACCACTGGAATTTTTTTTTAACTTGACAGGAGGTTGAATAAATTTCATTGAGCCACCTATACAAGGAAAACAACTATTACTCATGGTATAGAACATCCTTAAGTTTTGTTTCATCTTTATAAAAGTAAAATGTACCCAAATTAGGAAGCTTCAAATTTTTATTAATTTTACATGCACCGAGATTTATATTTAAGGCATTCGAAGGTGAACATCTGTTACTATATTAATTATGGTAAAAAAATTAGTCTGCACTAAATTATCTCAGTATTTAAAGCAAGCATATCACCTTCCTACTGATACATTTTGAGTATATGCTTTCATGTGTTTATTTTAGAAAACAGCCATAGTATTTAAGATTCAGTCTGTCTTTAACGTTTAACACTACTGGTACCTGCCGTTAGATCACCCACACCACTGTGGGACATATATTCTTTAGAAATGATATTTTGGCATAAGAGTATGCCAAAATAAGCGTTTTGTTTGATTTTTCAGAGAACTCTATTTTTTTCTTCTCCATAGATGCATACTTTTCTAACAAATGCTAACAGTGATGTTTTCTTTAAGACCCATGCAGGCAAAGTTGTATGCACTAGGGAGCTTCCCAAAGACAGTCATTTTCACACAATAGAGCAAAAAAATGCATAGATCAGCCAACTAATTTATACTTCATTAATGTCACACACCCAGAAAGCATGAAACTTCAATGTGATCTTAGAGAAGTCAAATAAGCCAAACAGAAGCTACCAAAACAGGCCTGGTGTTTTCATCTGAAGAAGTTTCTGTTAGGCTGCCTCAGAGAACACGGTGCATGCTGAAAGGGCAGGCCGGCCTCGCTGCTACATGTGTGTTCCCCCGGAGAGTGGAGAACTATAGAGGACATTCAGCAAAGTGTCTGGGGGCCCAAGTTGATTAATGTGTAGCTTTATTTCACTTCGGGGTGAAGCACCAGAGGGAAAAAAGATCATAAGCTCATTTGACAACTGTAAAGGTCACAAAGGGAGTGATGCGGGAAACGTGAAGCTGTCAGGGAGGCGGGAACCCTGCCGTCAGAGCTTGAGGCAGAGGCTGCAGGAGTGAGGTGCCAGCTGACCGCCAGCCACGGAGGGTTTGAGACAGATGAAACCTGAACCTCCTAGGACCCCGAGTTCTAGTGCGGGACTCTCCTAACCCCGTCAGTAAAATGAAGAGAGTCGTCTGACGCCAGGAGTCCCAGCTCCGAGGGCTTCACTGGGGTCGTCTAAGGGCCTGACGGGAAGTTTTTGCTCGCTGGGGTGTCCGTCTCACAGGCACTCACCTCAAGTCAGCACACTGCCAGCTACAGGAGCAGGTGAGGGGCCAGGCCACCCCTATCGTGACGTTCCCCTTTGAGAAAGCCCCGTGTAACTGGATGACTGACCGCTTAGGGGACCCTGTCTCTCCCTTCCGGTGCCTCTAAGCTTTCAGTTTGCCAATAAAGCCCTCCAACCCCACCTTTCGACCCTAGGAAAGGCTGGTCCCAGGTTCACGCTCCCTCCCTCTCTGGCGACCTCACCCACACAGTGTGCCCTGTACCCCGCCAGGACCTGTGAGCAACGATGCTTCCTCCTCAGGTCCCCGGATGACTGTTCACCAGAGGGCCTCGTGTGAGCCTGAGAACCACAGGGGCCGCAGGCCACCCCCTGTACCCCACCAGGACCTTTGAGCGGCGACGCTTCCTCCTCAGGTCCCCGGATGACTGTTCACCAGAGGGCGTCGTGTGAACCTGAGAACCACAGGGGCCACAGGCCACCCCTGCCCCAGCGATGGGAGGGCACGTCCCCGGGGGCTCCCCTCAGGCCTGCAGACCAGGCAAGTGCCCCGGGCACTCCTCGCTGAGAACACGACTGTCATTAGACTGGGACCAGAGAAAAGGCAGTTATCTCCTGTTCGTCTGTGCTCACTGGCTCGTGGAGATCAGCCTGTCACAACCCTCAGGATCTGTGAGAGCTGGAAGTGGTGGTGTTAGTAACCCCACCATTCCCTATTGCAGAACAAGAATCTGAAAGGAACCACAGCCATCAGAGGCCTAGGACAGGCGCGCCTGCCAGTTTGCTCTGTTTTCAGACAAGGAAGGACCCTGTTCCTTTATTTCTCCAAGTCTTCAGGCAAACAGCCTGTTCTTGAAGGTTGTCTGAAGAAGGACAAACAGTCCTAACACAACTGTGACTTTAGGACCTCCCTAGACTGAGAGTCCTGAGGGAAATGGGAAGAAAGTGGATAGTTCCCAACCCCTTGTCAGTGACCTGGAGCATGAGCCTCCCCAGCTGGTAACTGAGCCTTCCAGCGGACGCTGGGCCTTGCACTTCCCTAACGCCCTCCCGTTTGATTCAGCTAAGGGCTGCGGGGCTGGGAGTCCTAAGAGCTTCTTCCTCCACAGTGGGAAGAGCACAGAAAAGAATCATCCCATAAAACTCACATGTCATTATGATAGGGACAAAAAGCAGTCAACATGGGGGAATTCACACCCTTTTTCCTGCCAACCCACATGCCCTTGCTTGGATCTCTCTGTGGAGGTCAGGGTGATGAGTGAGGGGTTGGAATATTTGGGGGGGGTTGTAGAAAAGGGAGCAGGATTTACACTGAAAGAATAGAGCAGACAGCGGGAGTGGGTAGAAGATACTAGAGACGTCCCCGGTGAGACGCTGGCAGCCGCGGTGAGGACCTGGCGGAGGTGGAGGCTGCTGAGGCACCGGAGGCGGTTTCCAGTGTGGACCACACAGCCCTGCAGCTCTCCTTCCTGAGACCTTTTAAACACATCCAGATGATTTCTAAGGCAACCGGAGTCGAATCTGTGGGATGTGTATAAACGGCTCGGCTATACTTGGGTAACACCAAGCTATCCAAACAGGAGACAACCCGTGTGAATCCCTGCAGCCTACTCCAGAACCGCCCGTGTCGTTTGCTTTTTGTTATAACTGTCATTTTAAGCCTTTGTTTCCTCTAAACATATGACTTGTTGCTGCTATTTTTGCACTTCCAGAAGTGCGGCTTCAGCTTCCAGCTCACATCTGTAATTGTAACAAACCAAACGAATGGTTCTAGTGGAAAATACTGCTCTGCTTCACTTTTGGCATCTGAGACGTACCCCACAGAGTGAGCCTCTGTATCACACTGAGTGAAGAGACGAACAGTTTCGCACCCAGGAGATCAAATTAACTAATGAGGTAAACTTGACATTCATGGGTGAAACACCACACAGTGTTTAAGGGTTCGTCTGAAAAGGACTTCACAGAAAGTCGTTAGAAGAAAAAATGTCATTTCAGGGTATTATGAACAACTCTTGAGAATTTGCCACTATTTGAGCTAGGGCAAGCAAGACAGTGGAAATAGAGAGACCCAGACTTGGGGCTCAAGCCTGTGGCAGTTAACTTCCTGCTCAGCTGACCATCCAAACAGGGGGCAGGATACCCCACAAACCATTCAGAGCCAGGCTGGGGATGACTGTGCATCTTAGTACTGGCTTTGGGGTGCCTCTCGGTGGGGAGGAGGGAAAAGTGGGGAGCAGGCAGCTTAAAGAAAAAGACCACGGAGGAAGGGGCATGGGGTGGGGGGGCTGGCCAGACTTGGGGGGAGCAGGCACCATTTGTCTCTAGTTCCTGGGACAGGAGGTGAATCACCTCACTGTGGGGAAGCTGAGGACTGAACTGTAGCTGCGAACCGGAAGGAGGGGAAGACAGAGGGGAAGTGAACACTGTCTGCCATGGCCACCTCCTTAATCTTATTTTCTGCCTTTAAGAATATTATTTACTGTAGAAATTTACTTGTATTTAATATTGATCAGTTAGGGCTTCCCTGATTTCAGTGAGCCCAGATTCCTGCATCTTCCCATACATAGAAAAATGCTAAATCCTTCGGCTTGAGATGTCTACTTCCCTTTAATTAACAGTAATCTTGGGCTTCCCAAGTGGCTCAGTGGTAAAGAATCTGTCTGCCAATGTAGGAGATGCAGGCTCCATCCCTGGGTCAGGAAAACCCCCTGGAGAAGGAAATGGCCACCCACCCCAGTATCCTTGCCTGGGAAATCCCATGGACAGAGGAGCCTGGTGGGCTGCTGTCCATGGGGTCGCAAAGAGTCAGACACGACTAAGCACACACACACACACACACACACACACAGAGTTATACGTATAAAGGAAGGGGCAAAATCATTGCTCCTGGTCCAAGAAATCGAAACAATGATGGTGGCATTGAGAAAAAGTGCAAGAACTGGGAAGTGTGCGAGTGTGGGTGTGCAAGCGTGTTCTGGTGGGCAGGAATGAGAAGGATGGAGGGTGGAGGAGTTCTGGCAATGAGGGGAAAGTAATAAAGGAGACAGAGCAGAAAAGGGAAAATAATAGAAAAGTTATTTACACATATTTTTAAAGTTCATGTATTATTACTTTCATATTGGCTGTACCAGGTCTTAGTTGCTGCATGGGCTTTTCTCCTGTTGCAGCAAGCAGGGGCTGCTCCCCAGTGGCGGTGAGGCCTCCTCCCTGCCAGGGCTTCTAGTTGCCGAGTGCGCGCTTTGGGCCCGCAGGTTTCAGCAGCTGCGGCCTGCTGGCTCTGGCGATCGGGCTCAGTAGCTGCAGTCCAAAGCTCATTTGCTCTGTGGCACGTGGGATCTTCTGGACCAGGGACTGAACAGGTGGCCCCTGCATTAACAGGTGGATTATTTACCACTGAGCCACCAGGGAAGCCCCATTTCCATGTATTAATCATTACAGAAGGGCCCACAATATAAGGATCCTTTGTTAAACGATGACACAGTTGTAAAACATTATAAGACGACACATTTGTGATGTTAAAATGATCTCCTGAGGGAAGAGTGATTGCTAAATACTCACCATGGAGGAAAGACAGGGACAACAGCAACACAGATGGGGCTTGATGGTTCATAAATACAGTCCACCTTAGGAAACTCAGTTAAAACATTAGAAAAAAAAATGGTCTCAGGACAGACCTCTAGGGAATTACAAACACTGGCCTTTGCAAAACACAGAAAATTCCCTTTAAATGTCCTATAGTCAGATAAGTTTAGTTTTATACATATCTTGGCTTTATGTAAATATTATAAATGCAATTATGAAGAAACTGGCAAATACCTTAAATTTCACTGAAAATCATCACCACTAACATTTTGGGATGAAATGATTTTTCTTACATGTTTTCAGACAAAAAAGCCCTGTTCCTTGACTCTTCTGTCAGACGTTGTGAGCACAGCCAGTGGAGCCTCTCTCACAGATGCTCTGAGGGCTCCCTCTCACCGCTCTGTGAGGTCACAGAAGGTCCCCAGGCTGAAACATGCAGGGCAAACTGGGAGGGGCTCTGGGCTCTTAATCCGAATTTTTTTCATCTGCACCAATTGCTCCTTCAGCTCCTGAAGGTGCTGCTGAGAAGCAGTCTGCCCATGTCTCCCCCAATCCTGCTCTGGACAGTCGAGGAGTCCTTGCAAGTCCATCCTGCTGGTGACTCTGCTGAACCCAGACTAGTGGTCACGCTTGGGGTCCAATCTCCACGAGTTTTCTGAATTTTGTGTGCACCAGCTGGAGATCACGCTTTCCATGATAGATGACAAGGTNTATATATATATATATATATATATTTATATGTATGTATTTATGTATTCTATTATTTCACTCTTCTTCCAAATAATACAACTCCTTAAGTACTTTAACATCTGCTAAACTATTCAAAAGTACTTGTAATCTTTCTTTAATTTCATAAATTAGTGTTTCACTGTTTCACACAATTTTTTAATTTATCTTATATTTACCAGCGTCATTTCTTTTTTATTTCAAACTCTTCTGGAATCATTTTGCACGTGCCTTCAGAATTTCATTTAGTGAGAAGTAAGTAGTAAAGTAAGTAGTTTTATCAGTAGTAAACTCAGTTTTTGAGAAGTTCTCTTTATACTGTTCTCATTCCTGAAAGATAGATTTTACATTTGCATATTTTCTTTTAGTACAATTATGATATTATTCCACAAATTGCATTGTTGCTATTGAGACACTAGTTGTCAGTCTAACTGCTGTTCTTTAGAGCTAATCTTTTAGAGCTAAGTCTTTTAGCTCTAATGCTTTTCTTGCTGAATATTTTTTAGATTTATCTTTGAGATTCTGCAATTTCACTATGACTTACATAGGTGTGGCTTTGTTTTTATTTAGTCTTCCCAAGATTCATTTAATTTCCTGAATTTGAGTTTTGGTGTCAATCCACAATTCTAAAAACTTATGGCTGTTTTCTTATTGAGTATTGTTTCTCTTCTATCTATCATCTTTGGGAACTCTTATTAGATATATCCCATAGACTGCAGCCCACCAGGCTCCTCTCTCCATGGGATTCTCCAGGTAAGAATACTGGAGTGAGTTGCCATTTCCTTCTCCAGGGGATCTTCCCAACCCAGGAATTGAACCCAGGTCCCCTGCATTGCAGGCAGACTCTTTACTGAGCTACAAGGGAAGCCCAGATATGTCCAAGATGTTGTCAGTTTTCTTTGTCTCTTAGCCATGCTTTGTATAATTTCTTCCAATCTGTCTTCCAGAACAGTAATTTCTCTCCAGCTGTGTCTAATCTTCTGTTTAATCCATCCACTGTTTTTAACATTGACTGTTACATGGTTCATTGTAGAAAGCTGTTCGCTTCTTTTTCAGGTCTGCTTGGTTGCCTCTTATTCCTTCCTCATATTTTTAGGCTTCTCCTTTATTTATCTACACATATTAAACACATTATTTTAGAGTTAGCATCTGATAATTCTTATGTCTAAACATCTTGCCAGTTTGTATCTGCTGGCTCTTCCTTTTGGTGTTTTATTTCCTTTACTTTTGAATGTGAGCTTATTTTCTTTGGAATCTTCTCTCTAGAGTTCTTTGAGGTTTAGGCTGAATTTTTATGCCTACAGAGAGGATCTGTACTTGCTTCTGCCAGTTGCCTGAGGCTACTGCCAGCTGGAAGTGTTTTCGGACTAACTGCACCAGATAATGAGAATTCTGACTGCAGAACCCTGGGAGGGCTGGCCAATCCTCGGGGTAGGATTTTTCCATTCATTGGAAATAGATTTGTCTATGCAGTGCCAAGGCTGTGACAGGCAAGTTTCTTTGCTCTCTCCTGGCACACACAGGCCTTAGTTCTCACTCACTTTTACAGTAAAGGTATAGTGGTCCCAGTCGTGTCCTTGCTCTACCTTGTCCTGGTACAAGCAACAAAAAAGAGATCTGGGTCACTAGGGTTGGCAGACACCTTCAGAGAGAAAACTGTTTCAGCCCTCACGTATATCACAGGGTTATACGATTCCAGTTTTGACCTTTGCAAACTACTGTGCTTTTCCCAGCCCAGTAATACATTTTAAAGAGCTTAAAAACTGTCATTCCAGCATTTCTAATTTTTTTCAGGGGAAAACAATTTCAGGCTTTTTATTCTACAATAGTGCCACTAAGTTCTGTCAATATTTTTTCTTAGTATATGTCCTATTAGTTTTTTTTAAGTATACAGAATTTTGTATTTTACCTAACAATTCATAACAATTAAGATTGAAAACTATTATTTCATATTTTCTTGACATAATTAGAAACACCTATTCACATTTGTTCAAGATTATAAATATGTGTTCTTCTAGTATTTTTATTGGTTGTTTTTTCTCCTTAAAATGATTGATTCCTTTTCAATTAGTTGTGATATAAGAAATAAAGTTGGGAATCCAGCTTTTTATTTTTTACAAATGGTGGCCAGCTGCCCTAACACCTTTTATTAAGGAATCATTATTTTCCTTAAAGACTGGAAATACTTCCATTTTCATAAAATATATTCCTAAATATTAATAGTATTCCTGTATTTTCTTGTGTGGATTTCTAAGCCCTCTATTTTCTTTAACTCATCTGTCTTCTTGCACAAGGGTTAACTTGTTTCAATTAGTGAAGNTTCTTTAACTCATCTGTCTTCTTGCACAAGGGTTAACTTGTTTCAATTAGTGAAGTTCTAAAATCAATGGAAGTGTCAGCCAAATTGAGACATCACTCATCACTTTTGCTTTCTAAATATTTTTTCAGAAAATTTCTACTCATGTTCTTGAATATTTGTTCTTCCAGATGAAATTAAGAATTAGTCTATCAAGTTTCTACTAAGTTATTCTATCAAGTTTCCCGATAGTCCTGTTAAAGTTGTGACTAGGAAATATGTAGTTATTTCCATACTCCCCTTTACATATTTTACAATGAGCATCATTAAAATATTGCCGTGGTTTCCTTCAGGGAGCAATCAGGAAAGCAATAGCATCTTTAAAGGTTTTCACAGAAGAGAAATTAGTAAAGGGACTGCTTCCAGAGGTGTGGGCAGGTACAAAGAAGCCAGCAGGGGATGGGGAAGCAGCCCCAGCCCCCCACAAGGAAGGGACCTGTACCCTGCTCCCCCTTACCCCCTCTGTTTCCTGCTGTGCCTTCTATTGGACAAGCCCAATCAGAAGCCAGAGAAAGAGCAGTTTAGGGGGAAAGCTCCTCCTGCAGCACAGAGGGGGTGGGAAAATGGATGCGTAGGGGCAAAGGTGAAAGACAGCACAGCTCAATTTATGGCCTGGTAACTTTTACACTTGCAGCACTGTAATGTTGTTAAAATTTGAAAGATACTCACGGAGAGACTCCATGGAAAGTCATTCTAGAGAAATGCCTGACTCATTATCCTGTAGCCGGCTGACACTGAAAATCCCACGTACTGTTACCTGAATTGGTAACAGTTGTTTATCACCGGCAGCACGGCTGTTCCCGGCTGCGAGCCTTTCTTGTCAGGTGGTGGAGTGAGGATTCTCTGGTGACGGAGAGCCGCAGTGAGCAGAGAGCGCTGTCTCCATCTCTTCACTGTGAGGACACGGAGCCTCACATCTCATCTACTACAGGGCAAGCTCTCGTCAGCTTCGACTTCGAGAAAGGTTTCTACTTCTTGATTGTAAAAGCCCCGGCAATGAGGCTGAAGATTTTTATTTTTCTCCCCCCAAAAATGCAGAATGGTACATTTTTCACAAAGAGAATCCAGAGAAACTACTAAACAGTAGCGTACATCCAAGAGTACCTGGAAAGTGTGCAGGGATCAGCATGTGAGGATAAATCGGGGCCTTTCCAGGAAAGGTTATTTGAGATCATTGCTCTCCTACCACTAATTTCTCTGCCGGCCTCACCACACGAACCTGCGGTCAAATGCCTTTGACTCAGTGGGAAGTGAAAAACCCAGTGAAGTCAGCCTTTGTCAGCCCTCTGCCATCGGACATGGTCCCTCCTGATTTTACCTTCAGCCAAGCCTTTGCTGTCAGAACAGACACGGCGCGCTCCTCCTGGGAACGCACGGCAGCCTGAGCGAGCGGCGCGGACAGGCTTCCGCTGAAGGGACAGACGCGAGCGGCACTGAACGCTCAGCTCTCGCATTAGCGCCAGTCATCTCCCCCGTTATGTGCCAACAGGGTGGTGTTAACCACGGGCCATTGTTTTCCGAGGAAACACCGCCTTCAGCCCTGATGATGTGCTTTGGCACCAGAGCATCGGAGCAAACGCAGAGAACGCCCGTGTGCTGCCCCCGCGGCCCTGGTAAATCACCCAGCAATGCAGTCTCAGAGAGAGACTCGAGCAAATGAACAGATTATTGGATGTTTTCAGGTCATTTGCAGCATGCGATGCTGCCTAGGATAAAGAAAGCAAATAGCTCTGTCGCTTTTCTGTGTCACGTTCTTTGCCATGCACGTTCTAGAATGGACTAGGGCAGGGCCAACCTTAAGGCCAGGCTCACGCCGCTAATTTTTGTGCATCACTTCTGGTTAATGCACCATGTTGTGAATATAATCTTAAAAATACTTCCAGAGACAGGTTGGTTTTTGTTCGCTTCTGGAGGCGGATTTGTTCGGGCCTGACTTTGCCTTTCCTGTGACCCCTCCCCGCCTGCCTCCGGGGCCTCAGTGGCCCGATCGCCTTCCTCCTCCGCTCGGTGCCTCAGGGAAGGGCGTCGCCAGTGTGTCCTGGGGCACCACGCCCTCCCTCCTTGCACAGACTCAGCCACAGCCCAGAGCCCTCGCTTGAACGCTAAACTTTCTGTCTGCTGCATCCCCCACTGATGCACTCTCACACCTTAGACTGCACACGTAGGGACTCAGCTGACACTTCCTGGCGCCTTTCCTACCAGCCTTGCACTGTCAGGATAAAGACATCAGACTCAATGTCTCAGTTTCCCTTATCACCTCATGTTCAATCTTTTAGGTAAGACTCTTACCTTCTCTTACCTAGATTGTTATTATTACAATAGACACCCAATTACCCCTCTCTGTGTCTCTAATCTCTTCTGGTTCAGTTCATTGGAGGATGCCCCAGATTAATCATATTGAAAAACCACTCTAGTCATGTACCTTTTTTTTAATCCAAAAGCTTGCTATGGCTCTGTGGGCCATATGTGGGCCTATTACCTGTCTAGTAACTCACTGAATCACAGTTTGGATTTGGGGTGCTGCACCACCTCAGGGGAATGTTAGCTCTCTCATTATTCCCTGGACCAGAAGGCTGCAATCCGTTAGGCAAATGCGGTCCATCACCTGTTTTGTAAATGAAGTTGTATTAGAACACATGCACACCCACCTGTTCACATGCCATCCATGTTACTTCTCACACTGCGGTGGCGGAGTTGAATTGTCACAGAGACACGTCGGCTCACAAAGCCTAACATCTTTGCCATTTGGCCACTTAAGGAAATTTGGCTGATTCGTGTCCTAGACTTATTCTCATATTACAACCAAACTTTGTAATTTGCCACTTTCCAAACATTAAGCCCTGAACTTCCCACTTATATATTCCTCACTCTCCTGTAAAGTTTTTCCTGCCCGATCCTACCATTTCTTCAAAATTTTCCTCAAATGTCACCTATGGAATAAAACTTTTGTCCAGTTGCTTTTGAATCACTTGACCTTTGAATCACTTGTTTGGCAAATGTCTTTACTGAGCATCTATCATCCAGGCTCTGTGATAGACCATGTGGGCATTGTGGAAATAATGGCCCTGACAAGCTCACTACCACATAGAAGAATCACATTAAACAACCACACATCTAGGCATGTGATGGCAAACTTCATAAGTGCTAGAAGAGAATATGCCAGGAGACCCAACTTAAATGAAAGAATCAAGAGAGGCTGAGAACTAAATGGTGAAAAAATGGGGGTTAAAAGGGTTCCAGGCTTGGGGAGCCCTGGGGAGGTGACCCTGGGGCAATACAGAGCTTAACAAGGTTGAGGGACTGCTGTGGATTCCTGTAACTGGTGCCTTCTCAGAAAGCAAGGGAGAATGTGCACAATGCAAGGCCGACAGGCAGGCAGAGCCCAGTCTGGAGGAGATTTGGAGACCATACGAGGAGTTTGATTTTTTTTTTTTCATGAAAAATCACTTGTATAGTTTTGAGCCTGAGAGAATATACTCTGATTAAAATAGAAGAAAGCAACAACAAAAAAACTTTGTTTTGGTTTCTGTGTGGAGAACAGTTTGGAGAGGATGGAAATGTACCCCCTCTGCCCCCCAACTCCCAGCACACTTTGTTAACCCTCCTTTATGACCTCCATCACCTTCCCCTTGTCTAGTCGTTACTTCTGTAAGATTGTGAGTGCATGTCCTGTGGCCCCTAGATGCTCTTATACTGGAGATCCTGGATTCTTTCATCCACCTTTGAATCTTCTGTACCATCCACCGCTGTGTGATGCAGAAACACGTAATAACTGATGGATTAGGTTGAATTAGTTATCCAGATTGCCCTGAAGTCACAGACTTCCATATTTCTCTGACCTAAAATTTTTAGGTTCAGCTTTATTCATTAATCTCATTGGAAAGGAACTGAATTTCCCTTGGGTATCTCTAGAAGCAGGACAGCAGGGGTGAGTTATAGAGAGCAGAGTTGGGCACAGTATTGGCACATTACAAGGGCTATCTTATAATAGATAGCCCATAAAGGGCTATCTTTATGAGTTTAGCAAGGATGGAATCAGCTGCCTTGTGAGGGGAGGAATTGCTAATCATTCCTGGTTTGTGCCGTGATGGCCAAAGACACCATGGATGATGTCATGGGTTGAATGGCGGCTCCCAGGATACCTGTCCACATCCTAATCTCAAGAACCTGTGGGGAACATCTTACTTGGAAAAAGGATCTCTGCAGATATAAACTAATTGAGATCATCCTGGATTATCTAGGTGTGCCTTAAATCCAATGAGAACTGTCCTTGTATAATACAAAGAGTTCAGTTCAGGTCAGTTCAGTCGCTCAGTTGCAGTCCCATGAACTGCAGCACACCAGGCCTCCCTGTCTAACACCAACTCCCGGAGTTTACTCAAACTCATGTCCGCTGAGTCAGCGACGCCATCCAACCATCTCATCCTCTGTCACCCCCTTCTCCTCCGGCCTTCAATCTTTCCCAGCATCAGAGTGTTTTCAAATGAGTCAGTTCTTCACATCAGGTGGCCAAATTATTGGAGTTTCAGCTTCAACATCAAAAAGTAAGAAGATACAAACCCAGTGGACAAGGCCGTGTGAAGATGGAGGCCAAGGCTGGAGTGACGCTGTCACAAAGCAAGGAATGTCTGAAGCCAGCAGACACTGGAGGAGGCAGAACAGATCCTCCCACAGAGCCTTTGGAGGTAGTGTGGCCCAGCTGACACCTTTATTTCAAACTTCTGTCTCCAGAACTGAGAGAATGAATTTCTGTGGTCTTAAGTTCCTGGAAATTTGTTACAGCAGCAATTGGAAACTAATATTGATGGGGTTCCCCTATGGTGAAATTTACTTCCCTATATCCATGGTTTTCAAGCAACTTTTTCAAGGTGTAGAGCCTTCATTTCAGCTGGGACGTTACTGGGAAAGCGAGTGGTAAACACACAGAGACCCCTGCTGTAACTGAAGAAAAGGGCCAGAGTCCTGCCTACTTGCCATGCCTCCACCCTCCAGAGGTCTGTCAGCAGCGGGGTGATTTGCAAAGCCCTGTGCAGCTCAGTAGGTGGATATTTTAGATGACAAAGGAAGACAGAAGTCTAGGAAACATGGGTGAGTTAGGTTGGGGATGTCCAGAAGCCAACCTTGAGGTTATTGGGGAAGTTATTCCAGGGACCCCCCAACAAGGAGTGGGGAAAGGAGATGGGAAACTGAAGGGTGCGTTAGAGGGCAGGTCACTTCTGTGGGCAGCTGAGTTGCATCCTGTAAGGGCCTCTGGAAGGTGGCGCATTCTCCCTGAGAACCCCCAGAGGTGGAACTCTGATCCACTCAACTCAGTTCGCAGCTGGTTAGGGCTGTGCCAGGGATGGTCACTCCCCAGCACCTCTGACCCGTTCCCTTCTCCTGCTGAGCATGCATGTGGCCAGCAGGAACTCCTGGACGGAGCCGCAGTGCTGGCGTCACGGAGCCGTTGGCGCAGACTGGCATGATGCGAATGAGAGGAGATGGCAGGGCTCGGCCGGCAGGTCTGGGAGACACTCGGGGTGGCCCCTGACACCCTATGTGAGAAACGACCGGGAGACACGTACCCAGTCCAGGAGGGAACCGGCAAACAAGCCGCTCATCTCCCTGTGGGTAATCCTAATCCTGGAATGGAGACTGTGCTCTAAAATTAGCTTCTGAAAAGAACCTAAGAGTGGATATACGTAGATGTTTAACTCATTCACTTTGCTGTGTGCTTGAAACTAACACATTGTAAATCAACTGTACTCCAATAAAAATTAAAAAAAATAAAATGTGCTTCTGTGCAGCTAGTCAATCAACTATTGTATAAATAACTCACAGAACAATTGAGCATTTGCAACACAGTTAGTGACACATAGAGCATATGGGCAAAGGAAGAAAAGGAATAGAAAATGTTAATTGTCCAAATAAACTGACTATCTTTGTCTTAAATAAGTTCTCTGAAAGAAGAACTAGGAACAATGTCCTGACATTTTTATTAAAGGATGTTGAGGATTAAATGTCCTTAAGCTAAACAAGATATGGCAGGTGTACCAGGTTTGTTGGTGGAACAACAAAGAAAGACACAAATAGCAAATGACGCTGACTGCATCACTATTTGTGGTTGGCAGAGTCACAGGACATCAGAAGGAGCAATTGTTGCTATTGTTCACTCACCAAGTCCTGTCCAACTCT